TTGTTCTGCTACATGTACATGTGTTATCTCTTGTCAATCATGGCTAAGATGACACCCGACAATAACGATTGATTTTTAATTCGTGAAATTGAATGTTTTTACTAGTATTTAATGGGTATAAATAAATACCTGTGGGTCTTATTTCAATTATGTGCAAGTAACTCTTGAAGTATTCAAAAATCTCTAATTCGGATAAAAGTGGAAACTATTTTTACAAAATAATTATGAAACGAGAGAAATCGTCTACTCTGTTTAAACTAACGAGACAGTATTTCCTCAAGTTTCGTTCAAATTCTTTTGATCTTTCTTTTAATTTTTTTTTTCATTTCTCGGGAAAGGTAGAGTTAATATCGTTTAAAAATAAAAGAAAATATTTTTTTTAGAATTGTAAGTGAGGAAATAATGAAGTATTTTTTAAGCTCAAATTTACATTTAAATTGTATTAAAATAGTAAAAATAAGTATAGGTAATAATATTAATAATATTAATTTTGAATAATATGCTAAATCAAAAGTGAATTGTCAAAAACTTTTTTTGAACATTAAAATACGTCTTCGCCAATGTTTCCAAATTATCCGACTTAAAATTTTCATTTTAATTCTAATAAGCTGTGGTAGATAAACATTAGTTTAAATCCGGGATGGAGAACTTGTGAAAATGGATTAACAATACTTAAAGGTCAGTTTTCTTGTGACAATTGTGTGTATTTATGTTAAAATTGATAATATAACACGTCTATTACGTACATTCAGACTTTTTTTAGACGAAATGTCAGTTGAAGTGTAGACCGTCACCGGTTCGAGATTTACACGTTTTCCAGAATCAAAACATGAAGGCTTGCGAAGAGAAGTGGATGTAGGCGAAAGCCTGCCCACTTCTCTAAAGAGAATACCCAAGAGTATGCTCTATGAATGAACATTTTCTAAAACAAAGTAAGTTATTGACAAACCAGTTGATGTAACAAGAACATCAACAGTCTAGTTAGAAGTCATCATTTCTAAAGTTCGAGCCGTCACGGTAGCTCAGTCGGTAGAGCGCTCGCTCCGTGATCAGACGGTCGTGTGTTTGAATCACGGCCGCGACTGACTTAAGTAAAAAAAAAAAAGGTAGCAACTGTTCCTTCGCAAAGCGCTCGGCACTTTGGAGTGAAAATTGCGGGTCCTTCGGATAAGACCTTAAAAACCGAGGCCCCGTGTCACGGTAGGCGTTGGCACGATAAAGAATCCTCACTGCTGAATGGTCCTAAGTGCCGAGTAAAAGTCTAAATTTGAAGCCCTTCACCGGTATATGGTGACGTCTCTATATGAGTGAAAATCCGGTATATGGTGACGTCTCTATATGAGTGAAAATTCTCGAACGGACGTAAAACAACAATCAATCAATCAATCAATTGTAAGTTCTATGGTAGATACAATGACCTTGTCAGCAAATACAATCTATCATTAAGTCAAATGCTGATTGATGTTTTCCATACTAATTGTTAGGCCATTATTTACACACTGAATTGTCGACGGATTTTTCCGCTTTTTCCCGATCATGAGAAGGAGCACACGGCAGATGTGACCGGTCGGCAGGGGATGTTCACTCCTCCATGGCACCTAATCCCACCTCTGATGTTGTAGAGGTCCGTGTTTGCTCTGATTTGTATTGTTCGAATGGACTTTTGAGCTTGAATACTGTTCGTTATCTCCTTATATTTCATCAAATCACAAAAGGTGTGGCCTGACATACATTATAAAATGCGTGAACAAATGATTACCGCTGCGCCGACTGAGGGTGTTAAGACACTGAATCTTACGAATTTTTGAGTGACTAATTTTACACTTTCCTAAGAGTTAAAATTTTGGGTTGAGACTCAATGATTTGAACTATATATTTTAAAACTTCATATTAAATTTGACAATGCTTGGGTTAAAAAACCTCATATTTCCAGTTAAAAATCAGTTGACTTCATATGAATTTTTAGCCAAAATATTGTTGATATGATCTAAGAATTGATAAAAGAAGGAAAATCCTAATCTGAAAAAGAAAGAGGGGAAATTTGACTCTAGTTTGAGATTTTCCTTCGGGGGAGGGGGATTCTACACTAGAGTACAGATTCCGGGGAGAAAGCTGGCTATGAGGGAAATTCCCATGCAAGATTCTTGTTAATACATTCATTACATTTAAACTAGACTATGCGAATTACCTTCCATTGGGTATAACAAAGACCAACATGGATCGACTACAGTCGGTTCAAAACACGGTAGCTGGACTTGTGACTAAAATATAGAATTGAAACTATATTACACGTCTTTACAGATCTGCGTTGGTTTCTGGTGCATTATCCCCAGTGCCTTAAGCTGTATCTACAGGATCTGGTTACATGTGTAATGTCTATAAACCAGCCCACTCTTAAAGATCCGAAAAGTCTCTTTTTTAATTAATGTTTTTTGATTCTTTTTCTTCATTTTTACTTCTTTTTTTTAATATTTATGTTAATTCCTTAGCCCTTAAAATCATTTTAATTTGATTATACATCCTTGTTCTTTTATGTATTCAGATAAATTATAAATGCTCATTTTTGTCAAGCGCATTTGCCTATTTTTATTATATACAAGACGCTATACAATTAATTATTATCATCATCATCATCATTATTCGAAGTATACTCCGCATAATATATTTAATGAATGTATACTATGCCGAAGAAATGTTACTGTTTTTAATTTCAACAACAACAACTTTTGGGAATTTATAAGTAAGATTGGGATTCACATCCTGTCACAATAAAAAAGATCAGGGGAGTGTTTTTTTTTTTTCTCACAAAACCGTGCTTTTTATTGCAGCTGAATTATGGAAAATAGGAAGCGGCGCAGCACAGTGGGGCCTCCATTTTCCACGTGAGTTTGTTCAAATAACACATTTTTTTTTCTTTCAATATAGAAATAAAAACACAGCTCATGACCAGATGATGCTAGGGAAAGGGGTATGTTTTAAGAGATGGTACTCACAAAAAACACTCCCATTGACAGAATTGTCATCAATAAAAAGATTCACACAATTATAAAAAGGATTCAAGGGGGAGGGGTCATTCTTTCATTTTTGCATGGATTCATTGGCCAGTCAATATGTCAATGCATCCTTATAAAGGAGAAAGAGTATGTTAGTTACACTTATAATTAATACCTTTATTCAGAATTCGGTTTCATCAAAATTTAGCCCAATACTGGTAATATTTTGACAAACCTGATTAATATGACTCACTGAAATATAATTAAATACAATGTTCATATAAAAAATTGAATCCACTGATTAATATACAATAATGTATATTTATGCCCTGTTCACACGGAGAGTTTAATTCGCAGTAAATTAATGCGAAGTAAAATGATGCGAATTAAAATAATGCGAATTAAATTGCGTTCACACGACAGCTAATGCGAAGTAAACTAATGCGAATTATAATTTTATTTCTACAACAAGACTATTCAGTGAGGCTATTATGACGTCATTTACAAATCACGTCATATTGTGCAGAGCAGATATACATTTGACATAATGTCATAGTGTCTGTACACATTTTAGTGATTTACATAATTTTCCTTTGTTTTCCACTCAAAAATAGCACAAGTACCTATATTTGACCATCGACATGTGGCCTGTGACTTAATTCTGACCTTACGCATGCGTCAAAATTTAATTCGAATTAGCTTCGCTTAGCGTTCACACGGAGCTAATGCGAAGTAATTTAATGCGCAGTAAACTAATTCGAATTAAACTAATTCGCATTAAATTCTCCGTGTGAACGCGGATCAAATTTAATTCGCAGTAACTTACGTTTAATTCGAATTAAACTCTCCGTGTGAACAGGGCAATAATGTATATTAAAAAGTCACAGACTACGTAATGTTAACTTCTTAAGATTCATTTTCGTGCACGTCTTTAGAAAGTTGCCCCTGGGTTTTTTCCACCAACGCTTTAGTGCTGTTATATTGTCATATGCTGTTCAACTAAAATTAACAACCATCGGAAAACGTGACTAAGACGTTTTAAAAATCACGTCGAAATAATAAACTTCTTACTAGACGAAGAGATATAGAGGATACTCAATGTTTTGTAGTTGGATATGGAATTATCCGATTGGGACAGGGTTTTTTTATTTGAAAATATAAAAAAAATCCTGTCTCACGAGTGAAATAAATTCTATATCCAACTACAAAACGTTGAATTTTCTGTTTGTTACATTTTATTTCATTTTCCTTTTGCTTCTGTCTTTTAAAAAACAGTTTCATAGGCTATGACGTCAAAGTTGAGCAGTTGAGACGTCATAGCTTAGCGGTTCTGAGATTGAAAACACTAACATATTATTTCTTCTATATTCAAAGGAATGCAATCCATATGAGTAAAAATATTCTCGAAAGAGACGTTAAACAGCAACAAAGGAAGGCAGCTATACTGTATTGTCAGTATTATATCAATACAAGATAATGAAATGCAACAGAAAACAAATGTCCTAAACATTTTAACAGCCTAGCACATTTTCAAACATAATCAAATCTACACAAGCAAATAATTTCATAGAAAATGAAATTGGTTCCAAAATCTCATAACCAATGTATTTGGAATTGCGCATCTTGAGCGTATCATAACTTAAATTTTAAACTAACAATCTTTTTTTTTAATATAACAATGCTACATTGCTTAAATAAATGAAACTCAGCCTTGCTTGAATATAATTTGTATGTTAATATCTACATTGGAGGTTTTCACAGAAACAAGAAAAGAGAAAATTTTAAGTGACTATGAACAATACCCGAAATAACAGAATAAGAAACAATTTTCACAAAATAGAATTGCTAGTGTCAATTGACTCACTTTAGGTCGTAGCATGGGTCAAGCATGGATTTTCCTGTAACGTAATGAAATGTATTTCCCTGTCTAAAGTACTTATCTAGTATAAAACCAAGAGAAGGAAGAGTATTTGTGCATAGATCAGTAGGATGTCGAGCAGTAACAAAACAGATAGTGTAGAACTTGAAATCATGCCTGATGGAGAAGACACATTAGAAGCAAGTCACCAATACCAGGACACCGGAAGGGATAATCTCACTCAAAACGAAAGACCTAACAGCTTACCTGTGAGTAAATTCATCTCATCTATTGATTAAGATAACGTCTTTCAAACACAATTGAAACCAAAAAGACTTAATTCAAATACAATTATAATACATATGCATTGTTTCAGATAAGGACTAATGACTCGGGGGACACTGTTGATTTCAGACCTCTTAATTCACCTAAAGATGTAAGTTTGTATTGTCATATAATTGTTACATAATTGACTTAATCTCTTAAAGACACGGTCACGTGTTTCAACGTCCATGTACATGTATCCTTATAACCCGAAAACTCTAGATGATTATCAAGTATTGTTTATACTTACTTTTTTTTTAAATTTAAAACTATTAATTTTAATTTCCGTGACAAATTTAATCAATAGTTTCTAATAACTTATATTGAAATATACCCTCAGATAAAAGCTCTAAAAGAGTATGACATGGCAATAGCCTGTCTACATAGGAGTTAAGATCTGTAAATAATTACACCTGTCTAAAATAATAAATATTTCTTTATATTCATAAATAACTAAAAATGTTACAATCAAAAACCTTACTGAATGTTTTGCAGGATATTGATGGACAACAGCAAACTTCCTCTTCCAGAAGTCCATTTGCAGACAGACAGAACTTTGTTAAACAATTGTGTGATGCTTCATTATTGGCTGCAAATGTTTCCCAACTCCGTGTTGTGTTGGACGGAGGTTCAGATAACAGTTATTACATTCCATTACTTTTAATGATCGGATTTTCACTTTTCTTTCACATCGGGTTTGGTATGCTTATGATTCATAGATGGAAAAAGGAAAGAGACGCTGAAATGTTTCACAAAAATAATACTAACAGTCCGGCAGGTACGCCATCTTCAAGTGTAAGTGTCTTAACAGAACAAGCAAAAGGAGTGACTTGTTCTTGCTCCTCGTGTTTGACAGTAGAGAGATGTGACGAAATCAGCATGTTTATCATGCTTATTATCGTTGTTTTAAATGTTTTTATTGCAGGACTTGGGTTATCAGGACCACCGAAAGGTGGAGCTGATTAAAAATTTATTATATTTTTTATGGAGATTGGAGTCTCTAAAACAAATTCAGTTTACTATACTTTTATGTCCGATTGCAAGAAGAACAATTTATTTTCTGTTGTTGATTATTTTATTTGTTTGTTAGTAAAAATTACACTGTACAGTAATTGTTTCTATTATTATTATTGTTAGATAATTTAGTGGAAATAAATGACATGTTTAATATAATATGAAATGCTTTCCTGATTTATTCAATGCTGAAATTGATTGATATTTTCAAAACTATAATATCCTTTAGTAAAATGTAATCTTTTACTTTTGAATTATGTTTAAGGCAACAAATAACAAGCTCTACCCCAAAGAACACACGTTTTTAATAATTTATGTAGAATTTTCATCACATTTTTTAAAACCAATTGCTAATTGTTCATTCGTGTATTTTGTATATAAAGTTTATACTGACGGTAATAGTATCCTTTGTTTGTTTCTTTATTGTTTAACGTCCCTCTCGAGAATTTTTCACTTATATGGAGACGCCACCACTTGCCGGTGGAGAGCTGCATATTTTGTCCTATACTCGGCACTTTGAGCAGTGAGGGATCTTTTTCGTGCCAGCACCTACTGCGACCCGGGACCTCGGTTTATACGGTCTCATCCGAAGGACCGGTCTCCACGTCCCAAAGTGGGATTCGAACCCGCGACGTAAGGATCAACTCCTTACTCCGCGACTCTAGAGCGAACGCTCTAACCACTGCGCCACGCGGGCGACTAGTATCCTTTGAGCATTGATCAAGAAAACACCAACAGTTTTACAATAAAGATAACTCGTATATCAAATCTACAATCCATTAAGTTCTGATAGAGAAAATCTTTACCAAGCCTCTCAATTTGATATTCATTTTATCCAAGCAAATAAAGAAAAGTCCTGAAGATATGGTTACAAAGAAACTATAGTATTACAGTTATATTATATTCACTATTTGGACCATACAAGATTTGATCACGTAACCAACACACTTTATTACCAGTGAAATATTTTACCCTGAAATTTATTTGTGAATAAAACATTCTCTGTAAGTCATATGCACATTTATCTGGTAAGAAAACTAACATGTAAATAAGTGTACACTATGCATCAATGTCGAAATCATCTCACCAAACATTGTCTATCTGAAAAACTGCCATATACTAGTAAATACATGTTTACTACAATGTTACTGACGAAATGCTATCACCAGACATAATGACAACATTTGAAGGCAGTAGGGTTGACGTTTGATACCTTTATGACGCTTTACTAGCTGTACAGATCCCTTGTACATAATGTAACGTTATTTTGTTTAAAATCATTATAATAGCACTTTTCTAGCGTTCAGAAGGCCTGGATTCCCGTTTTCTGTAGCTACTTTTTCGCTTTTAGATTTTTTCTTTTTACATTTAGTATTTTCCCAGAAAACGTACTAACATATCATGAATTCAATAGTGTATGTATATTCGAACCTACAATGTAGCCGGCTGCTTTTCAAAATATTGAGATTTTCTTGAATTCATTCTCTAAAATTTCATCTTCAATTTCATTTAAACCACATGCTCTTTTAATGTGTTATTCAAATACAACAAATGTCCTCGGTTTTTAAAAATATCATGTTCCTTTTAAAATTTTTAATCTTTGTAATAATTCAAATGAAAAGACTATGAGAAATAGTTGTCAAATTCATACTTTTAATTACATTCAAAGGACTTTTTTATTATCATAAATTAAAAGCATCATTGTTGAGCGGATATTTTTATGAATTATCTTCTTAAAGGTTGTACAATGGCCTGTTTTGTTTTCATTCACGTAAGGAAAATCCGCTTTGCTATTCTGAGGGCCTCAAGAGGTTGTAAAGCGTGTTTTTCCTGAGGGATGGGGAGCCTTATTTGGTAATGTAAACATTTTGGAACTCCTCCAATTCTGGATTATCTTCCTCAACGTGCTCTATCTTTCACTCATGATCTATCGTTTCAAGCAACTTTAACTGCAAAATATCAGTTGTTTGTCACATTTAGATCTTTAATTATATTTAAGCTAAATTAATATGTTCTTATAGTCGAGCACAAATGCAAATCAATTTTATACACTACTAGTCTGCTTCAATAATGATTTTATTCATTGTGTGTTTATATATTAAAAAGAACATTCATGCATTACAATATCAGATTTTGGGTGATTTCTTTAGCAAATGAAAGCAGGACGTATAGTAATAAATTGAAATCCGTGTTAGTTTTTTTTTTACTTTAATTTTTTTTTTTAGCAGAACAAAAAAAATTGTGAATACTTTCTGACACTTTTGATATTTTGTATTATAAATTCTTCAAAAAACGCTTGCTTTTAAAACAAAATTTTTTTCTCATTCAGACAAAGGTAACATTGTTAAGAAATAAGAAACCATAACTTGTGTAAGTATCCTTCTATTCAGAAAAAAATAACATTCCTCACTAAATTATGCAATCTTAGGCGAGCAGTATACATGTATCTATATCTGCTTCTAATTTGGATGTTTTACTACAGAAACACATTGATGGCAAACTAACAACTAAACTTCAAGTATATGATAATTTTTTTGTCTACAGATTTCCGTTTAGCTATTAATGACGGGGGCACATGGCGGGTATGACCGGTCGACAGGGGATGCTCACTCCTCCATGGCACCTGATCCCACCAAGTCTGTGTTGGCTCTGTGCACATTTTGTATTATTTGACTAGGCGTGATTATTGTTTATTATCTTCACATTTTATGGAGCAATTGTAAATAAGTTACCAGTGACAAGTCTTTTTAAACCATCACAAAAGAAATAACAATTGATGGATGGGTAAGCGCTGAATATAAATAGAAACAATTTGGCTACAGATGAGTTTCATTGTTTTTTGTGTATTTCATTTTCTTAATAGATGCCTATAAAAAATAACACATATCATTCTAGTAATCTTAATTAAAATCCATAATTCAGAGATTTTACTCGCAGTGTAATTATAAAGTTTGATTGAAATTTATTCCAAACGTACGTGGTATAAATTTTGGCAAACGTTATAAATACAAGTTTATTTGACAAAAAAGTTTGAATATCGCACGTTTAGTTCATATTGTTTCCTGTTATTTCTTAACAATCGTGCATTAAATTGGTAATTCATTCAATTGAACATTCAACTATTCTACACAAAACGTTTGACAAAATTTGGCAAAATGACTAGGAAATTGTGTATCTGAAATTATTTTCATTCATCTTCACTACTTAAGCCTGGCAAAATTTTCTATCGAGATATCACTATTTTATATATTTATGGCATAAATGGTTTTTTAACAAGATATAACTACGGGAAATGATGAATAACGGTTTCCTTTTGTCGATGGACCAATTTAACAGTTACCAGTAAGATATTTTATTGTGCACTAACATGTATCAATTTCATTACATAAAATTAACTCCAATGCTTTATCTCAAATGATAAATTAATGCGGAGAAGTATAGGAAAAAAACAATATTTATCAGCAGAATGTGTCTTTAAATTGATAAAAATATTTTCAATGTTTTCATTTAAATTTCTTTCAACTTAAAAATAAAATATAACTCACACATATCTAACCCAACTTTTATACAAATTCAGGTTGCATGTAACCCAAAAACATTTAAAATTCCCAAACATTTTTTTTTTAAAAAGGAAAATATTAGGGATGGCAATATGTAACTGGTTACTCGGTCGGAACGAACTTTATTGCACATCTGTAAGACACTCCCAATCATATTTCAAAATATGAATAAGCTTCTGCAAAAATATAACAAGAGTTCAGGGAACCAGATTTTTGTAGAAAAACGACGCTTTTCGATCCCCTACCGCCCCCCCCCCCCCCCCGGTTGAAAATTGAACCTTGTTGCACATGTATGAAATATGAAGATAACGAACAGTATTCGAGCTCAAAGTCCATTAAAACAATACAAATCGGGAGCAGATCAAACACGAACCTCCTAAAACAGAGGTGGGATGAGGTGCCATAGAGGAGTGAGCATTCCCGCCGTGTGCTCCTTGTCATGATCGGTAAATAACGAAAAAATGGCCTAACAATTGGTATGAGGTTGTATGTGCTGACAAGGTCATTGTATCGACCATAAAATTTTCGAAATGATGACTTTAAACGAGACTGTTGATATTCTTCTTTCATCAACTTGTTCGTCAATAATTTACCTCGTTTAGAAATTGTTCATACGTAGTGCATGCTCTTGCGTATCGAATCAACTGAGAGATATACACCCCATATGCAGGTGATAAGAGTATATTGCTGCATAAGTAAGGGTAGTGCATAAGTAAGAAAAGTTAAAGTCATCACGTTTATCATAAAGCTTTGTTGTATCTTTTATTTCAAGCTCACTGAGATATATCGTGTCAACATATGAATGGAAATAACTATTGTTAATTGATAATACGTCGTCGATATATCTAAATGGACATGAATTATGAATTATAGGACATCACAAATCACAGTCCAAAAGATGAGTTGGCTTCTGCAAAAAAATATTTAAGTGGAATTCAAGGAACCAGCTTTTTTCATAATTAAAAAAAATGTCATTTATTGATTCCCAGTAGCCTCCGGGATGAAAATCGAAATTGCACATCTAAAGAACACTCCCAATCACATTCCAAATCATGAATAAATGGTTCGGGGGAAAAACGTTGTTTAACCCCCAATCGCCTCCAGGGTGAAAATCAAAATTCCATAACCTCATTGCACCTGTAGAGGACACTCCCAGTCATTTTCCAAAATATGAATTGGCCTTTGCGAAAAATTGTAAGAGGAGTTCAGGGAACATGTTTAAGCAGAGAAACATAGTTTTTTTTTTTTAACCCCAATTGCCTCCAGGATTAAAATCGAAATTCCGAAGCATTATTGCACGTTAAGTTGAAACTCCCAATCACATTCCAAAATATGATCTGGCTATTGCGAAAAATGTAAGAAGAGTTCAGAGAATTAGGTTTTGGTCCCCAGGATGAAATGAAAATTTCAAAATCTTTTTGAACATCATGAATTATATTCCAAAAGATGAGTTGGCTACTGCTTAAAATATAAGAGGAGTCTGAGGAAGACGAAAGTGTGAAGGACAGACTTACTGACAAGGATAACAAAAATATAACCGAACCTTTTCTAGAAAGGGTGGGTATACTGATATTAATTGAATCATCGCTGAGTACTGTACATGTAAATTAATTATAATAAGAATCTAATCCCGTCTCTCCTTTCCAGTTATTTATCAAAGTAGATCATTAAACAAAATGTAAATCAAGTGAAAATTCAGACTTAGTTCTGATTGTTGAGACAATGCAGCATGAACTGTGTGGTATCTGGCCTGAAAAATATAATTAATGTCGGTGTTATCTCAGGCATATGTTCATGTTTTTCTTACTTTCTGTTTTTCTATTGAATACTATTGAATAAAATATACATTATGTTCTGATCAAACAAAAACGAAATATTACTGAAGTCTTTTCTTATCTTCTTGTGTACATGAATAGAGAAAAATATATTTTAAATATGTATATTTTGAAAAGATTAAATGGTTAATTGGTCAGAGTGTCTTGTGGTTAGCCAATTAGCAATTCTGTATTCGATTTCCATCCCTAGAAAATTCCATTTCTTCAATTCAATGGAGTTTGTACCTTACAACTGGAAGTAATGCTCCCCATCCCTCTGCATGACTGATGCTAATTAATAGGAAAGGTTTTATAGACATTGGATATTAATTTGTCTTTTTCCAACCAAAATGAGGATTGAAAAAATGTACTTTTTCATTCTGTAAAGTATCGTTTTTTATTATGATAAATATTGCTTTGTTCCTTATGAAACGTAAAAAGTGAAAATAGCGAACATTAATCAATCTCATAAACCCGGTAAAACAAAACGAATCGTGAACAGGGCATAAACACAGACCCCTGGAAACACCAGGGATGGGATCAGTGGCTCAAGTTGAGTGGTCATCCCTGTTCACTCGTCACACCATAACCGTGAACCCTTTGAATCGATCGAATATGGAGTACTCCATAGTCAAATTTAGTAAAAAAGGAATGACCCAAAAAATAGTATCAAACGTCATTTAAAATACTACCCAAGGATAGAAACAAAGTCATATATCGACGTAGAATTTGCGAAAAGCTGACTTTAAACGGGGTTGTTGAAATCCTTGTAACATCAACTTATTTGTCAGTAGCTTGTCTCGGTTTAAAACCTGATCGTACTCAAAACATGTTCTTGCGTATCAAATCAGTTTGGAGACAAAGACACCATATGCAGATGATGTTGGAATATTACTACATAAATAAGGGAAGTTGACGATGGAAAAATTGAAGTTATACATTTAGTTATAAGTTGGCCATTATCTGTCTATAGTAAAACATCCAAAAATAAAACAGATGTAGCAGACGTTGTAGTGTTTTAATATCGAGTTTAATGGGATATATCGAGTCGACATATGAATGAAGTAACTATTGTCAATTGATAAGGAGTTTAAGAGACCTTAATTTTGGAATGTTAATATTGATTAGATTAACATAATAGAAGCGATGCTCCTCATCGCCTTTTCATGTTGCACCTAAAATGAGCGTATCTTGATTTCAAGGAATTATTTTTCATCAATGGCATCTGATCCAACCTCTGATGTTTTTAAAAGTCTACTTACTTTGAACATATATGCCCGTATTCACACCTGTGTTTAAACCACGTTTACCACTAAGAACAGCTTACATTTTTTAAATCCGTTTCATACCTGTTTCTCAGAAGTGAGCTAAGCTCACAAATTAAGCTAAGCCTAAACCTGGTCTAGGGTAGGTTAAAATGTCGATTTATTGTTCTTCTAACAATGGAGGACTGGATAGATAAGATGAAGGTGGATCTTATTGGAAAAAAAATAAAACGACGACTCAAAATTATCCATGACAGATCAAATCTATTTATATGATGATCTTGCACTTCTCTCAGAATGCTGTTCTACTTATTATGAACATACTGAAGTGTGTTACATCACTATTCAATGCCATTCCCAGTTGGATATTTAAAGATGATTTTACATTGTCTCCGATTCGCAACTTTGCTCTCTATTGTGTGTAATTGCATAGACCTGAAGCAGGTAACTGCAAACTGCAAAGGCAAGTTGTTTGTGTGTGTGTGTGGAGAGAGAGGGAGAGAGAGAGACTTGAACCCATACGTACGTGTACACGTATAATGAAAGTGACAAAATAAGTATTGGTGCTTTTTATTCCTTTGAAAAAAAAAATTGAATTTGATTTGGAAGATGTTTCTTTTTTTTTGAGTGGGACTACGCCCGTGCCCCTAAAGAAGAAAAAATCCTGAATCTGCCCTATATCTGCCTTATAGAGTAAGTGGAGGCCTTTGTTATATTGAATTAATTTATTGATAGTAATGGTGAGAACATTGTCTCTACTCAAAATAGGAGGACGCTCCTAGTGAAACATTTTCCGTGAAGGAATGAAAGATTTTCTATGAAGATATATGTTGTTGGGTTTTTTTTCATTTTCCTGTGTTTTCGGTTCTTTCCCTGGTTAATATTATACCAAATGCTGTCAAAACACGAGATTGACTGCAGTTTAGGTGAAACCAGTTTTATTTTCAGTGTGAATTACGTGAGCTCAGCTCAAGTGGGATTTAAACCCAGTTTACTTGACTCTGGCTTACTTGATAAACCTAGCTTACCTAAGCCATAGGTATGAATACGGGCAATACTCTTTGTTATCTTTACTTCTTATTCGTTGTAGGTAATAACAATGGTAAATGTCTTGCTGAAGTTGGTAAACATGATCATTCAGCACCACGGTCATCCTCAAATCTCTGTTAGACACATAGTCTCAAGCCACGGTCCGGAGTCCGCATATAGCTCTCTCCAGAATGGGAGAGGATCGTACATTTTGGCCGATGTGTTAGACATAATATGTATTCAAACATTTAAAAGTTCATTACTTAAGGGGGCCGACTGGGGTTTTCATTGCTCAATACTTCGCGCAGCATAGTAAAATAAAGCGTACTTACTCTTTTAAAGGAACTATTTTTAAATAATTTATGAAAATTAACAAAATGAGGAAATCTCAGGTTAAAAAATCTGATTATATTTTCAAATAACTGATTTTTTTTTAACGATTTTTCAAATGATGGGTAGATAGACGTCGTAATAGTGTGTTTTTGACGTTATGAACTACCGAAGTTCTTAAAGAGGGGTCATTAATTATGTCATAAAATAAAAAGTATAAAATAGATGCTCTTGAAATTTTAAACATAGGAAATTGAGAATCTCACAATCATTTTTAATATTTTTTATATAAATCTGTGGTATCTGTCATGTTTTGTAGTACTCCATAAAAACAGGAAAATATCATGAATTTTGACATTTTGAGATGCCCCCTCTGGAAACCAGACGGTAGAATTTAGTGTTTCTTGCATAAAATGTACAATATAGTATTACTCATTAAATACTATAATTTAAGCAAAATGTCTATGGTAGCATTTGTATAATTTGCTCCGAAGTGCGAAAAAATGGTATTTTCCTATATAATCCTATAGTAAATGTACCTGTATTTTGAGATGGTCCCTTAAAAATAACCAGACGGTAGATTTTCACTAAGCTTGACATGATTACTGAAGTCAATGTAAGGTACATGTACATATGGTATAAAATTAAAGAGTTTCTCTGTAATAGTTTTCACACAATAAAACCCCAGTCGGCTCCCATTAAAAAATAAGGTATCATTTTTAAACATCTATCTGGATATAAATACAGGTTGGTCATGAGATCAAATTCCATTGAGCCCGAAGGGCTACATTATTACTTATATTTACATTTGTGGCTTATTTATATTTTATATTTGCTTGATTATAATTTTTACCGTGTGAAGTGTTTCATTTTTCAAACTCAACGGCACGTGTTAAATCCATTGATTGCGCGTCGACCCTTTATGACGTCACTGAGAAATTACGTCGAACGTTTTTGACGTGAGAAACCCGTGTTTATACGGATATAATTTAATTTTAGTTGTAACACATCATTTGATTGGATAAAAGATTTCGTTTATATCGTATAACATAAGTTGCCTACGTCAAATGAGTTACGTCAAAAACGTATTACTCCGCTTGACGTTACATTTAAAATATGATCAATTTGAAAGAATTATTGGAGGAAAAATTGTCTTATTGTCTACACTAAAATTAAATTATAAGGAATGAAGCTTATTTTAACCTATGTTATATGATATAATATAACTTGGGAAAGATTACGCTTTTTTATAAACCGAACACCTCTATTTAAATTCATGCATCATGTGACACCGTCGCTACTTTTAGATTGATAAACAAAAATGGCGTCAAGAAAACGAGGTAGGCAGTTGAATTTGGTATACAAAATAACTTTTGACATGGATGGCATACGTTTTATGCATAAAGATACTTATTTTTGAAAACAGCAAGTATTAACCATCTTCTCTGTAATGACAGATATTAACTTTTATTCAAAATCGTAGTCAAAATGCAACGTACCTCGTTGTCTATGATATCCCGCGGACATGCGTGTCTATATACTGTTTACGCACTTCCCTCATCAATATTCATGAATAGGCTGAATTCTTAATTGCAGATCTTGCTTAATTGTTTTGTAATTACAACGACTTATTTAGCAAAATTTTGTGGAAAGTAATTATTTTTTATTACACATCATGTTTTTCAAATCATTTAATCATTTTGTTTCACATGAAAAAATCGCGTTTATATAGCGTGTATATCTTTAAACAGAGACTTGTTTGAATTTATATTGCCTATTAATGTCTACATTGGAGATTTTCATGGAAACAAAAAAAAAAAACGGGAAAAAGTGACTATGAACAATACCTAATATAAAATGATTAAATCCAATTTTTACAAAATCGAACGCGAAAAAATTATAATGTCAAGTGACACAAATGAAGTCATATCAATAACAAGGGTCAAGTATGGGTTTTCCTGTAGAAAAACAGAATGTATTTTCCTGTCTAGAGAACTTACTAAGTATAAAATCTTGACAAGGAAGAACATTTGTGCATAGCTCACTAAAATGTCAAACAGTACCAACACAGATAGTGTAGAACTTGAAATCATGCCTGATGGAGAAGCAAGTACGGAAGGGGATAACCTTACTCATAACAGAAGACCGGTGACCTTACCAGTGAGTAATTTTCCTTCTTATCTATTTGTCTCTATTGAGTTACATGCATCTATCGAACATTGCTGAAATTAACAACACAAAAACACTTCAATAATACTAGCCAGTTTAATTAAAATAGAATGAAAATGTACAATAATCAAATATATGTAATTTTCCAGATAAGGAGAAATAGCTCGGAGGACACTTTAGATTTCAGAGATCCTACTCCTAAAGACGTAAGTTTTATAAAAATGAATCTATTCACATTTACATTGGAACACACATAGATAATACAGTTACATGATGTGACAGGAATAATCAAGTGTTTCAATGTGTATGTACGTATATATACTTCTTAACCGAAACTTCTAGACGATTACGAGGTAATTCATATATTTACTTTTTAATTTTAAATCTATTTACCTTAATTTTTAATCCCTCTATGATTGATTTTGAAATATGCCCTCAGGTGAACGCTCTATAGTGTGACATGGCAATAGCTTGTGAATAGGAGTTGAGATCTGTAGAAAATCGCTGCGAGAACTAATACTCGTATATTGATAATAGAGAAGTTAAGCAGATGACCGTGTACGTGTAGCTAGGGAAATCCCCTAATTTACTGCGATTTACGTCATCAGTTTTGCATAGCGCGTAATTATACAAGTTGTTCACAACGTGTAGATTCTTAAACCCAAATTATAAAATGTATATTTTTCAGGCAGTGTTTGTTGTGATATTGAGAGTTTATCACGTACATCTATGTATTTTTTCAATCAAAGTCATAGAATTATTTGATACAAATGGATTGTAATGTGGTTTGTTGAAATGACATTTTACACGTACCGCTACACATACAGATTGTTAAACAGAACACGATGTTAGTTACGTGTACTTGTAAAAACACTTCTAGGTTAACACGTACAGGTAGACGCACACGGTCAAATGCTTAACCTCTCTAATATCTAAAATAATTACATGTACAATTCAAAATATTACTGAATGTTTTGCAGGAAAATGATGGACAACAGCAAACCTCCTCTTCCAAAAGTCCATTTGCAGACAGACAGAACTTTGTTAGACAATTGTGTGACGCTTCATTATTGGCTGCAAATGTTTCCCAACTCCGTGTTGTGTTGGACGGAGGTTCAGATAACACCTATTACATTCCATTACTTTTAATGATCGGTTTTTCACTTTTCTTTCACATCGGGTTTGGTATGCTTATGATTCATAGATGGAAAAAGGAAAGAAAGGCTGAATTGTTTCACAAAACGAATTACAGTGAGGCAGGTACGCCATCTTCAAATGCAAGTGTCTTAACAGAACAAGCAAATGGAGTGACTTGTTCTTGCTCCTCGTGTTTGACAGTAGAGAGATGTGACGAAATCAGCATGTATATCATGCTTATTATCGTTGTTTTAAATGTTTTTATTGCAGGACTTGGGTTATCAGGACCACCGAAAGGTGGAGCTAATTGAAAATTTATTATATTTTTTATGGAGATTGGATACTCTAAAACAAATTCCTTTTACCATACTTTTATATCCGATTTCAAGAAGAACAATTTATTTTCGTTTATCATTGTTTGTTAGATAAATAAAAATTATACAATGTACTAGACACGAATTGTTTTTATTATTTTTCTTGTTAGATAATTTAGTGGATATAAATGAAATGTATGATATAACATGAAATGCTATAATCAATAACTTCCTGATTTATTTAATGTAGTAATTGATTAATATTTTCAAAATATATAAAACTAATATCCTTTATTAAAAAAGGGGCCACCGAGAGGTGGAGCTAATTATACCATACTACTAAAAGAATCTCGTTACTTTATTCCAATAATTTTTTTATTAAGCAAAAACGTGTATTTTATTATAATATATATGATGTAATATAATGTATATATGATGTAAACAATGATTTATTGCATCATTTTTAAAATAAAGATGGACAAACAAGGCAAGAAAAAATGTCTATAGTTCGACAACTCTAATTCAAATATAAAGACAACCAGTGAAAGGTCTCAAATTCATACTTTTAGATCATTCAAAGGACTTTTACATTATCATAAGTAAATGGCAACGTTGTTGAGCTCGCTGATGGGCTGTACATGAATATTTTCATGAGATGAACTTCTGATGAAAGAGATCATTCTTATTATCAATACATACTGTTTAATATCATGTTAAGTTCTCGATCACTCAAGGAAAAACTGCTGTTTTATTTTGAGAGCTTCAAGAGGTTAAAGCGTTCTCCTTGGGAGATGAAGAGCCTTATTTGGTATTGTAACCACACATCTTGGATCTCCTCCAATTCTGGATTTACTTCCTCGAAGTATTGTAACCACACATCTTGGATCTCCTCCAATTCTGGATTTACTTCCTCGAAGTATTGTAACCACACATCTTGGATCTCCTCCAATTCTGGATTTACTTCCTCGAAGTGTTTTATCTTCTTTTACTTCTGCTTTATCATCTCTAGTAACCTTTAACAGCAATGTATTATAAAAACTAATATTTAGCCAGTTATTTGCCACATTAGATTTTTTTTTATTTATGTATGCTCTATGCTAATATTCTCGAAATCGCCAAATAATCTAAAACAAATGCAAAGCAATTACTGCCCGATATGGTGTGTAAACCGTTGCATTATTATATTTTTTGTTATTCCTATTCAAAGAAATTCATTATTCTAATTCTAAAACATATCATTCCTATTCGATAAATTATAATTCCTATTCGATGAGTTGTTATTCCTATTCGAAAATAATGTGATTCCTATTCGATAATTTGTTATTCTATTCGATAAATTGTTATTCCTATTGAAAAAAATTTGATTCCCATTCCCTGATTATGACTGGCAGCATTATCCACTAAAAGAATCACCTTCAAGTTGCTGAGTTTCATTTGTCTGTCGAAGTCTTTAATCCAGTCTTGAAACAGGTCCAATGTCATCCAGGCTTTGGTGTTGTGTCAGTATCGCATGTAGGTCTCTGGGTTGTAGGTCTTTCCGAAACATCTGGGACGATTCACTTTGGTAATCACAGATGGTTTTAGCTTTGTGGTTCCAGTGGCGTTGGCTGCTAAGGCACTGTTATCCTGTCTTTGGACTTCTTAGTTCCGTTGGCTCTTTGCGCTGCCAGTGTGTAGTTTGGTCCCAGTCTGTAGAACAATCCCGTCTCGTCTACGTTGATGTCACGTCGACTCTTGGAGCGATGAAGATATCTTCTTGATAGTTTAAATCAGCATTTTTGAGTTGTTCACCAAGTTGTTTGGCTTTACTAAGTAGCATGTCGTCGTTAATGGCGTGACGGGCAGATATGTCTGTAAACCAAAGGTAGAAAGCGTCGTCCAGGTTTTGGTGTTTTGGATGTTTTGCACGGGTCTGATCTTCAGAGTCGGTATGAACGTCTAACCACATGTCCTTGTTTTTCAAGATGTCAGCTGATCGTTGATTTACCTAAAATATGAGAGAAATAAATGAATACAAATGTATATTTATTAATTTATCAATTGGTGAAATTGAGATTTATTGAATTTATCTTTCTGATTTAAATTTTCTTTTATTAAAATCAAGATATTAAAATTAATCTTAATTTGCTTTTATCATAAAAAAAACAAAAGAAAAAAGCTTGTCAGTCTGAAGTCTGTCAGTCTATATACTACATAAAACAGAAGTTCTTGTTTTGGAATTCGGATTTGGGTGATTTCTTTGCAAGTGAAAAATGCATCGCAATCCATGGTTAAATATTCAAATACTTTTTTTTATTCTAAACAAATAAATTGTGAATACTTTTGGTCCCTTTTGATACTGTTTGTTCTTCATGATAAACACTTGCTTGCAAAAGGGACTTTTTGTTTTAGTCAGAAGAAAGATAAATTTATAAAGAAACAAGAGACCATAGCTTGTGTAAGTATACAAAAATTGCAGTTCATCACGAGAATACTGCAACGTCTAGCGAGTATATATGCATGTGTACTGTGTAATTGTATATAAGTAATCGATAAAATGTATGTATGGAACTTTCTAAAAAAAAATCTGACGTACAAAAAAGAAATTAAAATAAAAAACAACTGTCCAAATTCTGCAATTTGCCAGTGCTCGACCTTACAGCAACAAAAAGTGGGTGAGTGGGAGGGGGGGGGGAACCAGCTTCTAAAGGAAAATTTACTATAGCAAAACACTATACTCACAAAAAGTCGGGGCGGGCCCTACCTAACACTTCCCCACCCCGTTCTTCGGGCCTATAAAATGGTAAGGAGTCATGTATCTGAAGGAAACTGACTTAAGATTCTTTTTTTTTTATTTTACACACGATGTTCCACAAATACATGGAAAAGGAACAAGGAAATTGTTTATCTGAAACTATCACATATGAATAAATTAATTTAAAGAGGTATTAGGGACCAGGGTGGGACCTGTCCAAAGTATAACGGAACATACACTTTTGTATGTATAGTAAACAGATTTTCGATGTTTTCACCAAAATTGTCAGAGGTATTTGAAAAGTATTACATTTGGCTGTGTATTCCATTTAGAGCCTTTCTCAGAAAACAGCTTCCGCTAAATCATGTATTCAAATAGAGGACATTCAGAAAGCGCTTACATTCTCTATCCAGAGTTGTCTGCCGCAACGCTACTGTGGGAGCGTGACGGGAACGACAACTCTGGATAGATTTTGTTTTGTTTGTTTATTGTTTAATGTCCCTCTCGAGAATTTTTCACTCATATGAAGACGCCATCTCTTGGCGGTGGAGGGCTACAAATCTTGACTTATACTCGGCACTTAGGGCCATTGAGCAGTGAGGGGTCTTTTTCGTGTCAGCATCTACTGCGACACGGGACCTCGGTTTATACAGTCTCATCCGAAGGACCGGTGTCCACGTCCCGCAGTGGGATTCGAACCCGCGACGTAAGGATCAACTCCGTACTCCGCGACTCTAGAGCAGACGCTCTAACCACTGCGCCACGCGGGCGACAACTCTGGATGGAGAATGAAAGCGCTTTTAAATCAAATCAAGCTAACTAGCTTGTTCAAAAATCAATTTCCAAATAAAATACAAATCACAATATCCCATATCTTCCTACGACTGAAAAATAGAGAAAGGACTCATACTCTTTCATTTAACTCCAGGGTTTTTTTTTTTTTTTTTTTTTTTTTTTTTTTTTTTTTTTTTGTTACATTTTAAAGTCGCATGTAATTTACATAGGGGCTAGTCTTCCGGATTGTTAAAAGTAAAATGAATTTTTAAAAAATTGAATCTTCTTTAAATACACTTAAAAGTTGTTAAAATAGAGATTCTGACACTTTCAGTCAAGAAAAACCACGTTTTAAAAAGACATACCTATATACATAAACTCTACAAGGGACGAAAGCTCTTGTCATGGAAAAAATACCCCAACCCACTTCAGCGCCTATATCTGGACTCTAAAGCATTAATTTATTTCGTTGTCATGGTTCTGTCCCCTACAGTGATGATTTTCCTAAATGTTGATGCGTTTGTCAGTCGTCAACCTGGGGAGAACGGAAGTTTACAATATCGCAAGGACAGATAAACAATGTATAGGGAAAACTCAGAGGGTAATCGAAAGCGAATGGTAACACCCAAGGACTTCCAGATTCGCGGAAAAAAGGTTTACCGACAAGAAAAGACAGTGAAAAAGATAATTACTGGCTAAAGTTTGGTTTTCAGGGGCTAAGGCGGCACCGGGAAGACTCATTTCATTTAAGGAGGCTGAGGGGTCAACAAATTAACCACAAATTAACCACCAGATTTAACTTAATTTTTTAGATATGATATCTTAAGCTGTCAACTATCATTTGGCAAAGAAAAATTTCAAAAATTTTAGTTTAAAATTTTATCATTTTCTATATCTTCATATGGAGCTCTTCTTCTAAAGGAGATCAATATAGTCTAAAAATGGCCACAACCCCAGCCTCTTTAATGTATAACTAATTTGTTACATAATTTACAGGACATTTGCTATTCAAGCGCGCTATATGTTATACAACGATTATCGCCCTTGCGTCGTTACCATGCAACCATGTAAACTTCCGTTCTCCCCAGGTCGATTTAGAAAAATGAGCCCCAATTCGAAGAAATTGTATCCGTTTTCTGTTTATTAAAGGCATGTTGACGACTGACAAACGCATCAACATTTAGGAAAATCATCACTGTAGGGGACAGAACCATGACAACGAAATAAATTAATGCTTTAGAGTCCAGATATAGGCGCTGAAGTGGGTTGGGGTATTTTTTCCATGACGAGAGCTTTCGTCCCTTGTAGAGTTTATGTATGTAGGTATGTCTTTTTAAAACGTGGTTTTCTTGATTGAAAGTGTCAGAATCTCTATTTTATAGGGATGTCAAATCGGTCAATTTTTGATAATCGGTTACTCGGATTTTCCGATCGAGTACCCGGGTACTCGGTACAAGTAAAAATGTACATACAAATGTGTTAATTTTCTTGAGCCACGTTAAGCTCTGTTAAACCCCAAAGCTGTTTTTATCACGTTTAAATGTATATAAACATCGAGTCCAATGGAATCGATTTTTTGGTACTAAATTTATTTATCAAATAAACACAAAAGACACAATTAATACATAAAA